AAAATTTGGACCCTGCTCAGGCCACCGCCAAAATTTCATAGAATCATAGAATCATAGAGTTGGAAGAGACCACAAGGGCCATAGAGTCCAACCCCCTGCCAAGCAGGAAACACCATCAGAGCACTCCTGACATATGGTTGTCAAGCCTCTGCTTAAAGACCTCCAAAGAAGGAGACTCCACCACACTCCTTGGCAGCAAATTCCACTGTCGAACAGCTCTTACTGTCAGGAAGTTCTTCCTAATGTTTAGGTGGAATCTTCTTTCTTGTAGTTTGGATCCATTGCTCCGTGTCCGCTTCTCTGGAGCAGCAGAAAACCAACTTTCTCCCTCCTCTATGTGACATCCTTTTCTATATTTGAACATGGCTATCATATCACCCCTTAACCTCCTCTTCTCCAGGCTAAACATGCCCAGCTCCCTTAGCCGTTCCTCATAAGGCATCGTTTCCAGGCCTTTGACCATTTTGGTTGCCCTCCTCTGGACACGTTCCAGTTTGTCAGTGTCCTTCTTGAACTGTGGTGCCCAGAACTGGACACAGTACTCCAGGTGAGGTCTGACCAGAGCAGAATACAGTGGCACTATTACTTCCTTTGATCTAGATGCTATACTCCTATTGATGCAGCCCAGAATTGCATTGGCTTTTTTAGCTGCCGCGTCACACTGTTGGCTCATGTCAAATTTAAAAGACCAAAGTCCATCCTGGAAGGAAACCATTCCTTGAGTTTCTGCTAGCCAACTGGTACAAACTCTCTTCCTGACCCTGAATCATCTAGTTGTTCTTTTAATAAGCTTTCTCTTTCTTTATCACCTCCTGGTCTTCTCCCTTCTTTTCTGCTTCCAGTTATCTTCATCTATTTCCACGCTTGGATCACCACACCTCATTTCCCCGACATGCAAAATCCCTGCCAATTGATCTTCTGCTCCTGTATTTGATCTTCAATAAACTTCCTCCTAGCAGCACACTCTTGAAATTTCCTATGACGTTCCCCATCTTCCTTTCTACCAGCCTATTGGTCTTCAGACATCCTTTTTAAGCTACACAACTAACACACCTCGAGTTACTGCCCCGCTTCTTGAGTTGTTCTCTCACAACCCACTCCAGCTTTCCATCCTCTCTGCACATCTAAAATTACACTTTGTAAATTGCTTTCTTCTCTCACTCCTCTTGGCTCCCTTGCAACCTTTGATATGGCTGATCTCTCCACTTCAGTTGCTCCCCAGCTTTTGTTCTTAGTCCTTCACTTTGCACTCTTCCTCATAGTCATTTAGTCAGTTAATACTTTCTGCAGTTAATACTTTCTGCCCTTCTGGGTCGTCTAACAACTCCAGATGTCTTCCCTATGCTGCTTTTTTCCTATATACCTGATCACCACCTCGATACAGGGGGAAACAAACAAACAAATCCATGTCTTCCAATTTAAGTATTCCCTATGCTATTTTATTTCTCTCTCCATCAATATTCTCAATCCTCACTCTTCTCAACAGGCTGATCTTTGATTTCTCTCTTTTCTGTCCCTGCACTTGTTTTCAAGCTAAATTTTTCACTTGTTTTAAACTTATTGAAATCCCTTCCTCTCCCCCTAGCGCCTTGCCCTACCAAAAACTGTAATTTGTGGTATTTAACCATTTCATATGTCAACTGCTTTTGTTTTCCCATTTCACTTCTTGAGCTGATCTCAGAGCTTGCATGTGAATCTAATTTTGCCTCTTCGCTTCCTCCTTCTGTTTCAAAGTTCTTATTTGCTTCTTCTTACCTTTAAAGGTAACCATGGACTTGGGACTTTCTTACTTTCTCTTTAGTTGCCTTCTCACTACCCTTCTAATGCCTAGCAGGTAAAAATGGGAGGGCTTTACTGAGTATTGCAATCCCCTAGCCCAGTGCTTTTTTTCTGGGGGGGGGGGTGCAGGGGGACTCATACCCGTAAACATTTTGTGAATCTAAGTTTGGCCTCATTGAGGCGCAGTACAGTGGTACTTCGGGTTAAGTACTTAATTCGTTCCGGAGGTCCGTTCTTAACCTGAAACTGTTCTTAACCTGAAGCACCACTTTAGCTAATGGGGCCTCCTGCTGCCGGGCCGCCGCCGCACGATTTCTGTTCTCATCCTGAAGCAAAGTTCTTAACCTGAAGCACTATTTCTGGGTTAGCGGAGTCTGTAACCTGAAGCGTATGTAACCTGAAGCGTATGTAACCCGAGGTACACTGTATTTCAATATGAGTTGGAAAATGAGAGTACCCCTAAGCATTTTTTTTGGGGGGGAAGCACTGCCGTAGCCCATAGCTTTGTACCACCCCAGTCTACTCTGTTTATTTATAAGGTTTCCAAGAGATAGACAGCAGCCAAAGATAAAAATAAAAAAGTCTGTCAGATCCACCAGTCTCTTCCCAGTGTGTGCCATCTTTCAAGCCTCTACTGTTCCTGAATTATAACACTCAACATTTCTATAATGCACTTTACATACATTATCCCAGTAATCTTTACAAGCGCTTGTTAAACCTATTATCCCCACAGGGTTCTCATAGGACAGGCTGCTGCCTCATGGGACTGAGCTGAACCAAGGACATCCCATCCCTCTCTTAGCCACGCTACAAGACCGGAATAAAACTAGTGCTCTGCGGGTCATACACAATGCCAAATATGTCCAAATTCTTCTTGTTCAGCTGCCTGCGTACCATCCTCATGTGCTCAAGCATGTATGGTTTGGCTTGAGGATTTATTGTAATCTGCTCCCCAAGATCCAGCTCAACAGTACCAGATTCTTACCAAACCCTTTAAAGCTTTTATGGCAGGTGCCTCCTTGGACTCCATGCAATTTGAAGCCAGACCAATGGCATCCCAGACTGTGGCTAAAGTCCTGGAACGCTGATGCTGCCTCTAAAGTAAACCTTTTTCAGGCGGTCAGCTTTTTGGAGAAGCGGTGTTGAAACATGTCCTTACAGAATCAAAAGATAAGAGAAAAATCTTGCTGACCCAAAGAGATGACAAGCACCCTACCAGGCGTTTCTCTTCCTACTCTTCCTACTCTTCTCACTTTCGTCCCTTTCGCTCCCAGAATAGGCAAAGGGACGTCAGATTCAGACCTCAATTCTTTAGAGCAGCAGCAGTCAAGTGTCCCATTTTATTCTATCTAGTTTTCACTCTGTTGCGTTTTTCTCTACAGATCAAAGTTGCAATCTGACTTACCTGGGAGTAAGTCCCATAGAACTTCGTTGGACTTACTTCTCAGTAGATGTGCACACTACTGCACTGCAAAAGGGTATTAATAATAATCAGCAAATAAGAGGACAATCTAATTTCCAAAGGATCATACATATATATATATACAGTGGGAAGGAATAAACTATTTTATATGCATAATACTTATGCAGTACTATAGGGCTACCCATCTAAACACAGACAAACAAGAGTGATTTCCTGTTTCTCTGTGCAGAGTGCAGTGGGACTATCTATTATAGAGGTTACTGCAAAAATTCCACACATTTCAGGTGGCTTAGAAGGGAGGTACTCTTAATGGATTGTACACTTGGAATAGCTGATGTGTTGTTTTTGTTTCACCTTAAGGGGAGGGGGAAACAAACCAAAATTAAAAACATTGGGGGGAAACCAGTTTTGCTTTATAATTTTATTTATATGCAAAACAGTGCACCATTCATGAGAGATATGAAAAACGCTTCCGATAGAAACCAGATTTTCTATTTTCACTACAAAATATTGCCTTATACAAAGCAACACACACACCCAAAAACCCTGAAAAAGACTAAAATCTTTGGATAACAGATGGTTTTTTTTCTTTCTTTCTCTAAAACGTACTTTTGTTTTAAGAGATTCACAGCAAAAGAGCATGAAACATTTTCTGGTTGTCAACTTTTTTGGTTGTCATAAAGGAAAGTAGTCCTGTTTCTTCCCTTAAAAAGAACAAAACAAAAAAGTCTGTAAAAAACACACATACATATACACACGCTCACAAAAGGACAGACGTACGGACAAACAAACAAAAACTACTTCCCTTATAAATGGTTTGCAAAATACCTTTTAGACAGAATTACAAGTCAGAATAACCATACACATTAAAAAAACAAAAAACTTCAAGTGAAGTGCTAGTTTTGATTCCACACACAAAATAAATTCTCAAGGACAAAGTCTGAATATATAAAATACGCTTAGAAACAGGGGAAGTGGTCCAATAAACCCAGAGCAAAACGAAACCCACAATCTGGTTCCCAACAAACACTTCCAAAGTCAGACAATTATTCCACAGAAGAAGAAAATGTAAACACTTGACTATAGAAAACCAGTTGGCACAAAAGTCTTCAACGCAAAACCTTTACCACTCCCAAAATTTTAAAAAATAATCTCGGGGGAAAATACTCTACTTCTGCTAACCCAAAATAAAAAATAAATAGTTACTTTTGAACTGCACTCCTGGATCACATGTTTTAAGGTCGCAAGCAGTCGAGACTTTTTGGATCTAGAGAAAGGGGCACTTTGACAGTTCAGGGTCTTTTGTGGGTTTTGTTTCCTCCCGCCGCCCCCCCCCAAAAGAGGATCTCCACTTTCTGCAGTGGGAGCTGCCCGGTGGGTAGGGGGAAACTGGCACGCGGCAACCCACCCATGGGAACCCCCTGGGGGGAAGGGACCCGTTCCATTTCAAGTTTCTCTGTTAGGGCCCGATTCAGGAAAGCCCTTTAAGGCACGAGCTTAAAGCCAAGGGATCTCCCGCCAAGCTGCCGTCGGGATCTTAAACACTTTGCTGAATTGGGACCCTACCGCGGAGCGAGGGAGTTCAGAAGGAAGAGGCGCGCAGGAAGCCGCGCGGAGCGCACGGTGCGCTTGGCTTCCAGTGCGGGCGGCGCCTCTGCAAAGCGCCGGGGGAGCCTGGGACGGGCCTTCGGGGGACCCCTACCGGCTTGCCGCCGCCGTCAACCCCACCCCGGGCCCCGGGTTTCTTGCCCTCTCCGCCCCGCCTGGCGCCGCCCCTGGAGGGAGGCGCGCGCCTGTCCTACACGTCGAGGACGTGGTTGAGATAGGAGATGTAGCAGATGGCCAGGCGCAGGATCTCGATCTTGGAGAGCTTCTTGTCGGGCGGCAGCGTGGGCAGCAGCTTGCGCAGCTCGGCGAAGGCCAAGTTGAAGGCCTCGACGCGGATGCGCTCCCGGGTGGCGTGCGCCGAGCGGTACTTGGCGGTGGCGCGGCGCCGGCGGCGCTTCTCCTCGCGGCTCAGCGGCTGCTGAGGGTGCGGCCCCGGGCGACCCTCGCCGCCTCCCGCCCCGTCGCCGTCGGGCGCCTCCAAGTCCGAGGCGCAGCAGCTGCGAAGCCCTTTGGCCTCCAGGGACTCCGGGTCCGACGGCGCCGACGACGGGTGGTCCGAGTCCAGCGCCTGGTCCGGGCTCAGCATCATCTGGCAAAGAGAGAAGGCACCGTCAGCAGCGACGCCCAGAAGGAGGACCGCCAGACCCTCACCCTCGACGGCAGCCCGGAGAGCCAAAGCGTCAACCAGGGCTTCTCAGACTTAGGGAGAAGAAATACGTTGGTAAGCAAAAAGAAATAACTCCCAGCAGTGCTTGATTTATAAACCAGAACACAACTGCTTTATAATATAATTGTGGGGCGTCCAGAAAGTAGAAAGCGACGCAGCTTCATAAGAACTTGAAGAACATTCCCAAAGTATAATTAGAAACGAGCCTCTTACATATGTATACATATGTATGTATACAAACTCAATGAGAGGTGTGAGCTTCCTTTTGCTAGACAATCTCATTTATACTATGAGATGGTCATCAGTATCTCTTGAAGCTTTTGCTCTCATTTTGAGAACAGATCTATCCATATTCTGCAAATAAAATTTCTTTTGATACCATACCATGCTACACTGAAATGTTTGAATGTTTATTTGATTGTCCTTGAATCTCCCGGCCAAACCAGTGTGGCGCGCCAACACCCCTTGAAAACCACGGGGTTAGGCTCTCCCCTCACTGCGACTGGCGCAAGCTTTGCGTTGAAGGAATCCCGTTTCCATCAACTGCGGCTCCAAAGGAACTGGAGAGGGACCAGGCAAAGAGACCCAGGAAGCTCTGGGCGAGGGCAGCTGGGAGGCAGAAGACTTAACGCGGGCATAGAAGTACTTCCAAGCGGGCAAAGCACTTCGCCATGCGCAGCCCTTGCCATATTTGTTTGTTAAATTTGTAGAGCGCCCTTCATCCGAAGATCTCAGGGTGGCTCACAATAGAGAAATACAAGATCGAATTGCAAAGCATGGAAAAACATGCCAAGAATTCTCCCCCTCGCACAAGTGCATTTAAAAGCATATAGGCTGTAAATCAGCCCAAGGTTTGGTTGAAGAGGAATGTTTTTGCCTGGTGCCTAAAGGTGAACAGGGCAGACTTCGGTAATTTTTCGTAATATGGCGCCAGGTGTGAAGCCGACATTTGGTGCCCCCAAATAGGTCTTCGCAACTCTGGCTCTTCTCAATCTTGTGCCCTCTTGGCTGGGCACCCTGTGCGGGAGAACCACCTGCGCCACCATAAATCTGGCGCTGAGTAAGGAAGGCGCCAGGCGAGCCTTCTTGGGGGTGAGCATTGCACAAACGAGGACCCACCTCAGAAAAGGCCCGTTCTGGTGTTGCTGCCAGGGGGTCTCAAATTTCAGCAGTACCCTGTGGGGTGCCAAAATTCAGCGCCCCTCACCCGCCTCTCGCATTCCATTCTACCTCCTCGTTGCGGCGCCACTGAGGACCCGCACCGGTCGCGCTCCCCTAAATCTGCCTCTGTTGCCCCCCTCTGGACCTCTCACAGAGGGGGCACGCGAAGAAGGGCCTCCGATGGGGAGACCGGTATTGTTATCGCTACTCTTCCACTGTCTCCTGAGACAGACGGTGCCAACCAAGAGAACAGCATGTGGATATGGGCAGCGTTTTGGGCGGTGCAGAGGGCTGCGTAACGACCCTTGAGCCATTCTCCTTCCAGGGGGCTGCCAGGACCCCCGACTGGTCCATAGGCAGTTACAAACGGGACGGGCGACGGGGGGGGGGGCTTGTCTAGGCCACCTATCTAAGTCCAAAGGAGAAGTGAGATTCAAAGCAGGGACCTGCTTTGAGCCAGAGTCAGAGCTCTGTCTCTTTAGCCACCACGGCCACGCTGCCCAAACTCCCAAAGAACTGACCATAGCTCACGCGCTCTCTGTCTCTCTCTCTTTCACACACAAGCAATATTCTTGTCGTTTTTACGTTGCTGTTCCTTTACAATTGCGTTTACATCACGATGCTATCGATACCAATTTGCCAGCACAACATTTTCAGCAATTCAGGCAACACATCGAGGGCGGGCGGGATGGAACCTTATCCAGCTTCTTGATCAACGGGTGCTTATTAACAATATCATAGAATCATAGAATTCCACAGAATTGGGAGGGACCCCGAGGGTCATCCAGTCCAACCCCCTGCAATGCAGGAATCTCAACGGGCCCGAACATTTCATAGACGGGAGGGCGGAGGAAAGGACAGAAAGCTTAAAGGAAGGGCTCTGTAGCCCCTTTTGTGGGACCTACTATGTAACCGGGCAGTTAATCGTTCTTATCTATTCTGATTTATACACTTTGTCTTAATTTATAGCTGCGCGGGCACACTCAAAAAAGCCCGCTGCTCAGTTTATGTTTACAAAAGAAAAATAACAATAGCCTTAGCAATCCAAACCAGCTGCCTGGCTGCTCCCAAACAACGGAATCGACATTAAATGTTTCGAGGTGCGCTATCCTACAAAGGTTTATTCGGAAGTAATCGAAACTGTCTTAAAGAGGGACTCGCTCCCACGTAAAGGGTGTGTGGGAGGGACGCAAATAAGACTGGTTTTGTGTTCCCGCTTTCTAAATCCAAATCCAAAAGTTACGTTGCCATTGCTAAGGAGAGATCAGTTCTGAACTCCAAAGGCCGCCCCGCTCCCAGGCTGAGCCTCGATTCCGACCTCGGTGTGAAATACAGAAAGTCAGACTATTTGGGGAGCTATTTGGGGTTTGTTGCGCCTCGCTAGCGGATGCCAACGCGGTGAACGTCGAGGAATGTGGTTTTTAAGTCGGCGAAGGCCCCCCTGCTGGACATGGGGGTGTTAAAATGCCAACGTGGGGCACTATTAGTTAGGCATCGGAAGGAGAGAGTGCCCTCCTCTCCTGGCGAGAATCTCAGCTCCCGAAGGCGATCCGTTTTCGAGTCACCACCTAACAATGGACCAGACAATGCAAGGTCCGAGATCAAGATTTCGACCGTCGGGAATAGTTGCAGCCTGACGACGCGAGGATCCAACTACATTAAAAACAGCGACCTTGAGGAGAAAGCGCCGGGTGTTGTTTTTGTTTAAGGATCCTGTTCGTTTTAGTGTCTGGTAGTTTTCCTTGCAGGCGTAGGAGCAGGCGGGGGGGGGGACTGTTCAAAGGGATGTTAATATGTTGCAAAGAAGGGGGGCCTGTTTTGCAATCTGTGCCCCCCCCCCCGCGGCAAAGCAGTACCCCGCTGCTTCCAAATGCATATACCAGAACAATGTTGTAAACCGCCCTGTGACCTTCAGATGAAAGGCGGTATACAAATGCGTATAATTCAGGGGCACTTAAACTCTCTCGGCTCCGGTAGATTTCGTTTGCTTAGCAGGTGAAGGAAGTGCGGGGCAGCGATCAGGCGAAGCTAAGCAGGGGCCGCTCAAATGGACCACAAGTTGAGTCCTGCCTTGCCGGGGGGTGAAGTAGATGGCCCTCGGCGCCCCTTTCTATCCCAAGACCCGGTAATGAGAGGCTGGAGTCGGAGGAGGAGGGAGAGCGGCCCCCGGCCAGGCACCTCCTCCTCGGACCCACAAGTGGCTCCCCGGCCACCTCGGTTGCCCGAGCGAGCGCCTTTCCGGAGCCGCCCTCGCTCGGGATCGGAGCGCGCCCCCGGGCGAGGATCCTGAAGGGCCCTCGCCACCCATCGCCCCGTCGGCTCTAGGATGCGCCTTTGCCAAGGGAATGAGCGCGCCTTGCCATCTGTCAGGGAGAACTTCCAGGGACACGCGGGCATCTCAGAAAACAATGCAGAGCCAAGCAGGAGAGAATGACCCGGGGGACACTTGGGGGGAGGGGAGGGGTCACTGCAAGGGGGGGGGCAAGGGTGAAGTTCCTGAGAAGAGGAAGTAGCTGGAAAGGCGATGGGGAGGGGACAGGGTCCCTGAGGACGAGGACAAGCATAAATTAAATTGTTTGTATCATCATCATCATCATCATCATCATCATCATTGCCAAGGCTTTGCAAAGCTCAGTGTTATCGTTTGATTACCAAAAATGACACACCGCCCTGGGATCTGTGGTTAAAAGGCGGCATATAAATCGAAATCATCATCATCTAAAAGGTCCCCCTCCCGTTTAATGCCAGAGGAAATCATTATTATTACAAAAGATTTAAAGGAGAGTGGTAGAAATAAATATTGGGGAGCGATGGGAAACAGCCTGCCCTGGAAACCTGGCGCTGCGTAGGATCTCCAAAGCCCACCGGTGTTATTTGGCAAACAATGAGCCAATTACGGAAGTGTTGCTTTTGTCCCCGGTTCCGGGGGCTGAACCTGGAGAAGATCTCGGGGCTGGGAAGGCGACGCGTTTCTCTCCGAAGTTGCTATCGGGTGTGTTTTTTAATATATATATATATACATAACAGGAAAAAATGCGTTTAAGATTTAAAAATAATAATACTAATATTCACAAGGAAATAATAGTCCAGCTGAAAAGCAAACGAACAACGTAAACGGAAAATAATTTTTTTGGAACGCTCCTAACAAGTCGAGGGTCTGTATGGAATTTCCTGCGCTCCAGCGTTCGCATTTCGAAGGCGGAGCAGCTCGGCTTCGGAGCCGAAGTTCTGCGCTGGAAGCCTCGCTGGCCCGACTCTCCGCCTGGAAGGAAGAGCGAGCCTTGGATTTCGAAGGCATTTATTTCTGCTTGCCAAGTAAATCTATAGGCGACTCGAGGGAAGGTGCCTCCCCGGAACGTGGGTCTTCAGAGCCCTTTTTAAAATAATAATAATAATAATCATTTTTGGATTTATTTTTAAGGCATCTTCTTACGCAAATCCCTACGGCCTAACCGAGCCATCGCCCTGTTTTTCGTTCCTGCCCAGCCAGCCTCACCTGGTGCGCGTGAACATTTTTTTAAAGGACTTTACCTTGCAGGAGCCTTGACGACACCCTTTCTTGCAACGCCTCCGACCCCCTTTTTTCCGCGCCTCAAATAAAATTCCAGAAGGGGTTCATCTTAGTCTTTGGACATGAAACAACACAAAAGGAGAAACAGGGAGAGAGATAGAGGGGGGGGGAGTGATCCACATATGAAAAATAAATAAAAAATAAATCCTATCGCTAGACCGGAATCGTTTTCATCGCCTCGCAGAAA